GCAAACGTCGATACTTAAAGAGTTTCATGCTGTAAATTGTGTCAGCCAGCGAAGAAAGTAACAAAAAGAAGACAGAAACGAGTGTAGAATCAAAACACAGAGAAATAAACGGAATACAAAGAGAGAGTGACGCGACGAAACAGAATGAAATTCGCGAGGAAAAGTGAAGAGACAGTAGAAGAACAAGGAGGAACGGGACTCGGTACAGCGATGTTATACCTACGAAAAAGAAAAAGGCACACCGAAGCTAAAGTAACTGAGGGGCACCACGCCCTAATACTCTATCTCTACCTCCGAGCTCAATCGCCTCGCTTCTCGATCCTTATAAATGCTAAGACAACCCACAGCCTCGGTAAATATACAAAAATATCCTCGACACCTCCAATCTTCGTGAAACGGGTATGGTAATAAGCAGTGTTCGTCGGATCTTACGAGCTAAAGAACCAGAAAGAAACTTAAATCACGTTCCCCTAACGGTGAATAGAGCAGCGACATCATCATCGTAGGACTCCGCTAACCACCCGAAATACTTCGTTGGCTCGTCATTTCTATATACGATAATCGTCTACGATAATCGTCGATCGTTACAATAATCCTCGATCGATTCGTCGCACTCGAGTCATGTGGCAAACTTACACGGCCACATGTGTGTGTGTGTGTGTGTGTTTCTATGCATCGAGCGCGTCGACAGGCCACTTTGAACGACAAATCGAACGCGCGCTCTATGTCTGCTGATGCGTAGGACTATGATGATGCGACCAGGCTGGCGGGGACGACTGGTTGAAGTTCACCGAGATCGTCACAGGATGGAGAACGGTGTCCGGACCGGTGTCCGGTATGAAGTTTAGATGAGGCCTCAACAGCGCCGCTTCGACGGTCAACGGGACGTAGAATGCACCGCCGTCGTGCAGCGCGAAGATCGGCACACCGTGGGACGACGATGGCTTCTCCGCGGTGGTAGCCGGCGGCGGGCTCGACTTTATCCTCTCCGCGGAGAACCTCTGCTTGATGGAGCTCTTGAACTTGTAATTGGAAGGCTTGCAGCTGGTGGTCGGCGGGGTGCTGTGCGAATGAGTGCTGTGATTGCTGTCGTCGCTGACGATCATTGGCGGCGGTATGATCGTGGATTGCAGGGGGCGCTCTGGATCACCGAACGAGCTCACGCCGGAGCTCGATCCCTGGTCCGAGTGAGAATTCGGCTGGCACATCGTGGGGATGCTGGTGTGAGTGTAGCCACCGTTCACTACGCCGTTCGAGGTTGGCACCTCGGGGTGAGGGAAGCCTAGCCTGTCACCTGAGATTAGATGTTTACATTTGAAAATAGTATTCTATGGATTGTTATTGGGATATTCGGTTTTCGACGGTTCTTGTGGTTGACACGTTGATTGCATGTCATAGAGCAAAGTATAAAATGGAACAGATGTAATGTTAACCCTTTGTACTACGAAGGTGCCTCTCAGTTACCACTCGATTGACATATCAAAATTGTAAAATTTTATGTTTAATATTTTATAATGTGGACATAAAATACCATTGTTCCCCTTATCTCGTGAATAGATTTCTCGTTAAGTTGAAAAAAATGTCATCTATATCTCATAAGAATAAATTGAATATTTCTAGTGACGAATGTTTGGAGTGCAAAGGATTAACCCTTTGCGGACGTCGACATTTCGAGATCAGATGATATTTGCAACACTAAGTCGCAGACAAATGGTTTAATTACTGAAACAGCAGGAGAACGTAGTTTCCCTTTTTTAATTATCTAAGCAATTGATGTATAATTTAGCTTCATCTGCTGACGGTTCTCTGTGTTTCAGAGAATCTTCGTCCGCAAAGGGTTAAATCATTTGATTGAATTGCATTATTATTGTTTCACGTTTAGTCGAATGTCACTACATTAGGTAGCATTATTTATAATATAGAAATCTCTTCAATCAGCGTTCAATTGAGTGAACTATAGGCATTCAACGTGTTAACCATCGTCATGACTATTTCTTCCTGTTATGTTTATCAAAAGTTTAACACTAAAACTACAGCAGTTGAATTGACTTTTTAAAATTCCTCTGTAGAAACTCCAAGAATGCACCTATTCAGAATTCAAATTGATTAGCAATGCAGCTTGAGTATTGCTAAATCAATTTCTTTAACCATCTGTTATCTTTTTAATAATTATAGAAAGATGAAATCAGGAATAGGTCATTTTGACACGTCTAATATTTTTAGTGTTAACCCTTTGCGGACGAATGTCGACTATGATTTAACCCTTTGCACTCGGAAATTTCTCACTAGAAACATTTAACATTTTTCAACGAAGCTCAGACGATATTCTTTGAAATTCGAAGGGAAAACACAAGTATATTAAGGAGCAAAGCTATTTTATTCCAATATTTGTATGGAGGCGTTATACGAAGTTCAGCATTAAATATATTTTATAGTTTTCATGTGTCAAATCAAGTGGCGACTGAGAGTCACCTCCCAAGTGCAAAGGGTTAAGTACTCAATCTGCGAAGGGTTTTCTGTACTAAAAACGATCTTCGTCCGCAAAGGGTTGAACAGTGTTTCTTCCAAACGTTAGTTTCACGGACAAAGTACGCCGGTACTCACTGGTAGCTAAGATCCTGTCGCAATGCTGTTGCAGATGGTTGATTAATTGTACACACAAAGAGTCCCTAGCGAAGAAACCTTCCACCTCGACGAGGAAATGCATGGTTTCGCTGAGGCACTCTTGGAACCCCAGCCTATAGTGTTCGGCTGCTGTAGACGTCACCGTGGAGTGAGAGACGCTGTCCACGCTATCCTCGGGGTGTGTGGGCGCTGACGTCACGGCAGGATGCTTTGTTTCTGTACACATGATTAATAGTCAATTATAAACGTGCTCAAGGTATTAACCCTTCGACATAGAATATCGTGTTAGACTCGCGATGAGGATCTCAAGACGAAATTAACCAAAGACCATCAACCAAATTGAATTACTGTAGTTCACTCAATTAAACGATTATTTGGAAACGTTTCTACATTAATGCTTAATTTTGTGGCATTTAGCTTGAAGAACGTGCAGTAATAATGCAATTCAATCGAATGATTTAATATTTTTTCATTTTCTATGAAATCATGCATTCAACGTTAACAAAAGTGATTGAATCTTGATTCGCTTGAATTCGAACGAAATATTATATTTGTTATCAATTGTTACATTTGCAACTAACCGTGGATATGGATCAATGTGCAATTTTCCTTTGTTTCCAGTGAATGATTGATGTGAAAGTAATTATTGCGGATACACATTGTTGACCGATCACAAGTTAACTCGTGTTTACACTGGCATTAGCTATTTCAATTTTTGAAACAATGTAGAATACTGCAATAGCGAAATGTTCGAAGCTATATAAAAGATATGTCCAAAGTTTCATTTCATTTCAAATATTGAAAATAAAAAATTTTATTTTATTAGATATAAAAAATACAATATTAAATCATTTGACTGAATTGGATTATCATTGCACGTTCATCTGAATGCCACCGCAATGGGTAGCATTGTTTATAATATAAAAATGTTTCCGAATAATCATCGTTTAATTGAGTGAATTATACTAATTCGATTTGCTTGGGGTCACCGGTGACCCCCATGACATTCAACGTGTTAACCCCATGCCGTACAATGACGAGTGAGACTTGTCATGAAGATTTCTAGACAAATTTAACAATAATCAATAATGTTCGCTACCCACGAATCAAAACAAACAACTATTTTGCTATTATCAAGTTATTATCTTTATGAAATTTCCACTTCAAGTAGAATGGAAAATTTTGGAGCATTTCTTCCAAATTGCCGATAGTGAAATGATAAATGAGCTTAGTAACGAAAGTAAATACGGAAAGTGGTTAATTACAAAATAATAAATGACATGGGACAGCTTCTGCGTGAAATTACCGGTCATCGATGTGTTAAAGGAATCGTAGGTTAAGGGGTTAATGATCCGTACAGAAGGTATCTGAACAATTCGATTGCCATTGACACTGGTCTGAGCCGTACCTTGCCGAAGACTTTGAAGATGCTTCATATGACGAATCGCCATTTCAATGATCTCCGTCTTTTCTACTCGTCCCCTGCCTTTCTTCAGATACTCGGCTGGTATGAGTCTGCTCAGATCAGCCAAACAGTTGTTCATACGATCCCTTCTCCGTTTTTCGATGATTCTATGAGACATCGGATCTTGCTGCAACAGAAATAAACAATACCTTAAGCACACAATGAAAAAGAATAAGCATTGAATCCTATGAATACTTGTGTAGAGATGAATATATTATTGATAGACGATATCTTTCTAATTGTTTAAGTAATTTTAATGAACAGCCTATAAAAGTTCATTGCTAAATTTTCAAAATCAATAGTCTGTAATAATTTTACAATAATTAGAAAACGTGACGTAACATTTTTCTTCCGCGTGAATTGAAAATTGAATTTTTTAGTAATTGTACTGATTTAAGGAAAATGGAAATTTTGACTATTCTGACTCTTGTTAACTGCACGTATGCCTATCGGATGAGTTATACTACTGCAGAAACCAATTTCAGAATTCAGTTGATAAAGTTAGAAACTATTTGAAAATTTGCGAAAATTATCAAATACGTTTTGAAATTTCTTTCTCTTCCGTCATATATGTAGATCATAAATTACTCAAACACGACAATAATGCATTAGTAACAATGTTCCGATTATAGATAAATACCTTATTTACTATTCGACTAAAAAAACGTAAGTTACCTTCGACAAATGTGTCTAATTCAAAACTAAAATCATCGAAATAATTCAGTGAATCTCAAATCTGCTTAACCCTTTGCCCTATGTCGAGCGTGACTCGCAGTTTCATTTACAGGTGTGCTTCGTCAAGATATTTTTCAAACAGATTATATTATTTTCAAGATTATTATTATTTTATATTATACTATTTTCAATATTATTACTATTTTATATTATACTATTTTCAATATTATTACTATTTTATATTATTATTTTCAATATTATTAGTAAGAGGCATCGTTTACACTGCCCTCTGCAAAGTGTTAATTTTTTAACACGTTGACTGCCATAGAGGTCACCGGTGACCAACCAAATTGAATTACTATACTTCACTCAATTATACGATTATTTGGAAACGTTTCTATATTACAACTAATGCTACTTAATTTCGTGACATTTAGAACGCGCAATGATAATGCAATTCAATCAAATGATTTAATATTTTTTCATTTTCTGTATTTTGTTCTTCAAAATCGTGCGGCATTCAACGTGTTAAAATGCCTTTGAAATAAAACAACGCATTAACACAGAGCTATCGAGGGAAAAAACGCAAAGGAAATTTGCTAAGTCATTAACGCGACAATAGCTTATTAACTTGTTAGAATTAATTAAGAAAACGCACGACCATTAGCGTTGTATCGTTATCGGGACTGATACAAACTTTAGGGGAATCCCCTAACGATAATCGCGGTACTGTGAGTAAATAACGAGCCATCGGAATTACTCATATCCAGATAGTAGAACAACCGTTCCACGTTCTCGAAGAACGCGAACGTTACCAACTTCCCGCGATACAATTACCGAAAATAAATAAACAAATTTTACTATCTCCACCGCTCGTTTCATTCTGAAATGAATATCAATAAATCAATGTAAAACTGGATGCAACGTTCCGAAACGTTCGAAATTTTTAATAAATAAATTTGTGTTTACACCGTGATATCTACAAATAAATAGACTTCATATCGTAACAGTACAAACTCAGCGAAGTAATGTTTATTATAATAAAGTTATTATTTGAAACGTGTCTATGTTATTATATCTATTGACCTTTCGCAATCGAAAGTTTTTCAATGGAAATAGTCATTTTCTGACGAGATGTATTATAGATTGTAATTTAGATTGTAATTAGGCAATGCAAAGTTTAATTTGAAATATTAAATATTGAACTTCATTTCCTTACATCGAATCAAATGACATAGTCATGAGTGCAAAGGGTTACCGCGGTTTCCAACCTAGGAGGCGCCAAAATTTTAATAAAAAATTAATATTCACACCATAATACAAATAAACTTCACGTCGTAAGGTAACAGAGAATTCAGTGAAGTAACATTCACTTTGTAATAAAGTTACTTAAAACGTGTCTATATTAACCCTTTGCACTCGAAAGTTTTTCATTGGAAATATTCAACACTTTTTGACGAGATACAGACGACATCGTTTGAAACTAATTTAACGATAACTCACAGATAAATTAAGCAACAAAGCTATTTTATTTAAATATTACGTAACAATGCGAAGTTTAATTTGAAATATTAAATATTCAACTTCATATGTTTGTATCAAGTCAAGTGGTGAGAGTCACCACTCGAGTGCAAAGGGTTAATAGAGCTGGAAAATTTGTACGAAACCCTAGCATCATAAAGTCTGAAAACAGCATTAACATCATCCACAACATAATCCTCCAAATGTCGAGCACTGTCAACTTAGCAGATAAAAAAAGGAAAATCACCTCTTTATTCAAACAACGCCTCTTCCGCAGCGGCGACGAGTGCATCGCCGCGTCGACGTGATTGTTCGTCGGGTAATATTGCATATTCAAAATATTGTCCATGCTATGCGTCACCATTCTGCCGAAACGATCCCGCGAGAAATTCGAGAACCGTAACACACTGTATCGTTCCCTTTATTGCCCACAGTTGCCCAGTCGTCCCCCTAGAGTCGTGCGAGTCTGTGCCGCCCTCTGGTTGGAAGTCCTCCACGAAATTCGATTCGAATCTCCCGTGAGCGTCGATTAGAAAAATACACCAATCGACGAAATGACACGAGGATCGCACAGTCCGACAGGACGATTTCCAATTGACGAAAAATCCTGTTCCGAATTAGATCGATAGAAGACGTCACCGGCGAGAATGTTAAAAACGACTCTCGATTCGGAATTGCTCTGCACTGAATGATACCGAGATGCGCGCAATGACGTGTGAAATGACACCGGCCTCCGTGAAGACCGTGCGTGCTCCGGTACGACACCGCTACGACTGCGATCCACGGGCGGCGGCGCTTACGTTCCTCTAACAAGGAGGGAGATGTCGCTCGGCGATGACGCCGCCGCCGCCGCCGCGCCGCGCAGCGCGCTATCACGTGTTGGAAACGCGACGCATAACGCCCAACACGTGAGGAAACACGTTTCGCCAAGGAAGCTCGGCCGGGGAATTATCTTCCGTAGCACTTTTCCGCACACCGGCGGCTCGACGAGACCGTTTCTCGCTTTTGCGAACCGCCCGGCGACTTTCGGTCGGTCGATTGGGCCGTGTGTCATCTAACTCGGGCAACGTGCTCGGCACGTCATCGGAAACGTGTCGCGCGAATCCACTGGTATCGGGACCGGTGATTACGTTGGGGGGATTGACACTGAAACTTGCAGAGGGGTCAAATGACTGATGTCTTCTTTTTGCAGTTATTAGAAGGGTAATGTTTCTCTGAGAAGTTGTTGAAGAGATTCGTTTAGCACTGCGCAAAGTGAATTGTAGATCAATTAACACAAACTAGCAGAGGGTCAAATGACTGATGTCTTCTTTTTGCAGTTATTAGAAGGGTAATGTTTCTCTGAGAAGTTGTTGAAGAGATTCGTTTAGCACTGCGCTAATTGAATTGTAGATCAATTAAAGTCTGAACAGATGCACTCTTGGAGCTTCTATAGCGAAATTTTCGAAAGTCAATTGAAGTGCTCGGATTGGTAACCCTTTGCACTCCAGAGGCGCCAAGTCACCAAATGATTTGACAGCAAAATTGTGAACTTTGATATTTAATATTAAACTTTGTATAAGGCAATGTACGGAATATTGAAAATAGTTTTCTTTCTCGATACATGTGAGATTTCTTAATTCGATCTAAGAAAATGTCATGTATCTCATTAGAATATTGAATACTTCCGGTGAAAAACTGTGCAAAGGGTTGACACGTTGACTGTGTGGGGGTCACCGGTGACCAACCAAATTGAATTACCATAGTTCACTCAATTAAACGATTAGTTGGAAACATTTCTATATTATAAATAATGCTACCTAATGTCATTCAGCTATATTAATGTGCAATAATAATAATGCAATTCAAACAAATGATCTAATATTCTTTCCATTTTCAATATTATTAGAGGCATCGATTACACTGCTCTCTGCAAAGTGTCAATTTTTTAACACGTTGACTGTGGGGTCACCGGTGACATCAACCAAATCGAATTACTATAATTCATTCGATTAAACGAAGATTATTTGGAAACTTTCCTATATTATAAGTAATACTACTTAATGCGCACTACTTTGAATTGTAAAGTAATTTTAAGGATTAGGTGATTCTTTTATAGTTTTTCACAGTGTGAATACAGAATACGAACTGAAATAAAAGGGAATGGCTCCAAAGTCAATAGAAAACAAACAACTACTATTTGTGGAAAAAGAAAAGCAACCGTCTCATTCGATATCCGATTTTTCCCCGACGCTGTTAACGCTGACGGTTGCCTAACAAAAATTCAGACTGGTACAGAGATCATGCATTTTTCTATGCAAAGAGCACACTGTACTGCCTTGAACCAGATACTCGCATGTACGAGAGCGATCGTGACGCGCTTGGGTTTACGTGAATTGTTTCTCGTATACAGTTAAACGATCGGACTGTAATAAACTAATAAAAACCGCTGAAACTTCAACAGAAAATTGTGTACAAGTTGTATAGTATTATTACATAGTTTCATTAAAACAATCATAAATCTAAGCAGTGAATCATGTAACAAATAATATTACTATCGCATTGCACTAATCATTTCAACAATAAAATTCCAAATTTCCTTCTAAAATTTCCTTGTACAAAGCAAACAAATGTTTTATTACAATTGCGTCCTAACAGCAACATCAGATTGCACACAATAACAAAAATGACAAGAAACATATCTATCCATCAAAATAAACAAGGAATCATGTAAACCTAACAAACATTATCACCATCTTACATTAATCCTTGAAACAATTCAATTCCAAATCGCCTACTAATAATTAGTATTTATATATATAATACTAAGTATTAGTATTTGTAATTAGTAATTTTAATATATTATATTCCTACAATATAATATTATATTCCTATAATATAATATTATAATCCTACAATACAATATTACATTTCTACAATACCATTGCCTAACACATCACAATACCCGAATCAT